CACAATCTCTGTAGGATTAAGGTCGACTATATATATATGTAGAGGCTTTAAAACCAAGTAAACACTGAAAGTACAAACATCACTAATGTCGCACAACTCTGCCAACATGTGGCCAACAGTAATGTTTTAATTTTCTTCGTTATTAAACATTCGCACATAAATAAGTGACGTCATATTCAGTACTTACTTTTCACAGTTCACTCTTCTGCCGCTCCCTTCTGCCGTATTTTGCAGCAAAATTATCCACACCCACCGCCGCGCTATGAACTGTGGGATATATGGGACCACGAAGCGTGCACCGGACCACGCTTGATATTTGGGGAACTCGACGGCGCATTTGGAGTATGCGTTTGAAGTACACTTCGAATTGGGACAGCCGTCGTCGTGTGGCGGTGATGTAACACTTGAAATGCGTACTTCAAGCGTGCAGACCCTGAATTGGGACACAGCCACTGTGTGAGTTTTCCGTGACCTTTGTCATCGTGTCCGTGGTTCCTCCGTGTCTCTTCTGTTTCCCGCTGGTGTTTCCGAGGTTTTTCTAGTGTTCCAGGCTTTTACTTTATGTCCTTAGTTCCCCCAGTTCAGCCGTTCCTCTGTTTAGTTTATTTATGCATTTTTCCCCGTTTGGTGTGTCTGCCTTAATAAACGGGACGTCTTTCGTTTATTTTTCCTGTTTTCCTGTGTGGTGTGCATTTGGGTCCTCACATAAACAGTCCAGACGATCTGCAAGTTGTGACAGTTGGTTGCGTTTCTAAACTCAGCATAAATAATGATGACATTATTCTAAATGTAGGATTTCTAGTTAAACCTTAAGACTACCATTAGTCACTGTGCAAGTATACTGCTTTATATAAATGCAGATAAGTTTAATAGTTAAATTAAGTGAGGAATATCCTGCACCACAGTGTGAGTCTTAGTGTCCATGTGGAACAACGTAACTTAAAGCAGCATTTACCAAACTGTAACTGTAACACTCTCCATCCACCCTGCCAATGCTGATGCACAGATAAATAAGTACTTGATGGCTGTTCAGAAGTAGGCGTTTAAACTGCATAGAAACATGTTTTTAGGTTTATCAGCTGCGCTCTAAATCAGAACACAGAGACAGGGTCAAAGTCTTTATTGCAAAGCAGCCCAGAGGATATTGTAAGGATATGCTGGGACTGTGGAGTGAGCAAAGCTGGGTGCTATATGGTCTGGTACTTATCTACTTACGTTAGAGGGTGGTAGCTGCAGGGATAAGGTACAGGAAAGAGTTATACCTACACTTATATCTATTATGGCCACTTCTGCAGGCTTCCCGGGTGGTTAGCATCTTTGCTACATGCTGCCACACGCCTCAGGAATGACCACGCCCGTCGCAAGAAGGTCTTCCGTCTTCTGCAGAGGAAACTGGTGTGTACTTCAGTAGCAACACGTAGATGTCTTTACAGTACTGCGTTCTCTTACCACAGAACAACAGCACAGTATATGCTAGAGTTTGACGGGGATCCCATATATGCACATGAGAAGAGGGGTCTGGGAATCGATCTCAGCATTGCAGAGAGTTGACGGAACCCCTTCTGTTCAAGCATGGTTGTCCACAGTGGACACAGAGAAGACAGAAAGAGGAGTAAAAAAAGCCATGTCTGTCTACAATGGAAACATTTACATTCTTGAAAGAGTGACCTTTGACCTTTAGATGCAGATGTACAGCTTCTATGTTATTATTATTAGAATTCATTTTTAGTCTGACGGACATATTGAGTAATGTTAGAAATACAATTGATTGTTTTCAAATTCAAATGTCTCCTGGGTCATTATTTTAACCAGACAACAGGCTGGTCTTCACAGTCTTGAGCAGGTGAGGTCCTGGAGCCTAGAACAGGTGTGCCCACAGGAGGCGGAGATAAGAGTCACTGAAACATTCAAAGAACAATTGGTGGATTAGTCAGTTACCAAAATAATCTTTACCTGCAGGCATAGCTTCCAGTAAACTCCAATGTTGAGGACTTTCTCCTCACTGTGCAAAGCAAACTTTTATTGTTTGAGTCTGCCCTGGTGAACTTTCTGTTTCTATCCACTGAGCTGATGTGAACAGTGAAGGCTTCTACTACTCTACATCCACCTATCTGTGCCAGTGGCTTGGTGCTGTACTTTCCAGGTAAAGGTTGGCTATGATGGGTGACACCGGGGAGCCATGGCACATGTTTGTGTCTGTACTGTTTTGTTCAGCTCATTAATGACAATAAGCAAGGTTTTCTCCCAGTGGTTACAGCACTCCCCAAAGCTTTGTGCCATCAGAAAATCTCCTGCAGACATTCATGTAGAGATGTTTCAGTCATGACAGACTAATACTCACACTTAGTCCTCAGATATTCCAAAGCCAGGCAGGATATATAACCATTAGAAGAAGCTGAAGGAGTCTTCTGCAGAGGACAAAGTGTGGACTTCATTTCATCACGATTCAATTCAGGACAAGGAAATGAGAGACTGAGACTGGGTGATGATTTGTAACTGCTCACAGACTGGTCTTCTGTGTTTACAGGTGGTCCCTGTCATGAAATACATTGTATTATTCTATCATCTTTATCATATAACTCCTGTCACCCCCGTCCTAGTTTTTTAACAAGGTTGGCGTGAAGGAGGGGGATCAGTGTCAGCCTACCTACGTCTACCCTAAAGAGGTGAAGATGTTGATACGGTCTGCCTTTCCAGAGGACATCTGTGACTATCCAGATCCCTGCCATGATAAGGTGAGTGTAAACCATTCTTCATTGCCTAAATGCTCTATCACCAAAGACAGGTTTGTTTTCCCCCAAAAGTTGGTTCTGTTCTTGTGGACGAGGAGTTTTCAGCACTCATCTAAGTGACGTCTTCAGTCTCAGCTGACTGCTGGTTTCCAGCCTTATAAACATCTACGTTTGCATAATGAGCTAAACTGGCACCACTGGGTCGTGAGCAATGTTCCCTCTAAGCTGCGCGCGTGCGCAATTGTGCACTGCTGGCACGGTCTCTGCGCACAGAAAATCTCTGTAGCGCACGAAAAAAAAAACCTAACCTGAATTGAAATGAAAATAAATACGTTAGCAGTTGATTCTGTTTTGTAGTGTGAGTCAGTAAGTGAGCGGTGACTGGCTGCTCCAGCCAATGATGCGATTCACATTCGTATATGCACAGCTCATCAATGTGGTTGACAGGCTATGACAGCGTCCTTAAATGCTGCTCATGTTTAGCTAACAAAGGGGTGTGGCCGATGTGGAGTGCTGCTTATGTTGAACCTTTAAAATAATGGCAAAACGAACGGGCAGTGGCACACAGTGGCCAAAGTAAAAAAGAAATGCGACTCTTTTAAGATGGAATGGCTGTCAGAATATGTGCAAACGGGAGAAAAAACTGTGAAACTGGGAGAGATTTTTTCTTTTTTGAGCGAGAAAGGTCTGGTCTGCAAAATATGTTGCGAAGCTAAAATCGCAAGCGAGTTTTCGGAGGGAAAAGTGTGGACAGAATGGAAGCTGGAATACCTCAAGCGCCACATTCAACAGAAAAGTCATTTGAAAGCAGCTGGAATTGTGAGAAGATGTACGATGGGAATGAGGATCGGTACGTTGTTGGGAGAGAGCGCCAAAGACCGAGAGAAGAGGAACGAGCTGTCACTCAGAAAGAAATCCAACCTCGAAGAAGTTAAAGTTCTCATCGACAAGATTCTACCAGCCTTCAAAATGAATTCTTCTCTGCTGTCGGTTCAACAAATTGACCATCACATGGCAAAGTATGTGAGTGTACCAGAAAGCTGGCGAAGCAAAGATGATGCCTTTGAGTTTGTGAATTCAATCAATGAAGTAGTGCAGAATGAGACAATGTGTGAAGTTAAAAATGCACCTCGGCACACCCTGATCATAGGTGAGAGCACAGACGTAACAGTGCACAAAATGCTAGTCCTGTATATTAAATCCAGGGAGGAAAATAACGTCAACCATAAAACTGTTTGGTGGCATCATCCAGCTGACCGCATGCACGGCATGAACTAGACATGCAGAGAATTATGGTAAATGGTAAATGGCCTGTATTTATATAGCGCCTTACTAGTCCCTAAGGACCCCAAAGCGCTTTACATATCCAGTCATCCACCCATTCACACACTGGTGATGGCAAGCTACATTGTAGCCACAGCCACCCTGGGGCGCACTGACAGAGGCGAGGCTGCCGGACACTGGCGCCACCGGGCCCTCTGACCACCACCAGTAGGCAACGGGTGAAGTGTCTTGCCCAAGGACACAACGACCGAGACTCTCCGAGCCGGGGCTCGAACCGGTAACCTTCCGATTACAAGGCGAACTCCTAACTCTTGAGCCACGAATTAGGGCTGGGCGATATGGCCTAAAATTCATATCGCGATATAATTTGAAGCATGTGCGGTAACGATATATATCACGATATATTCTTTTCTTCTGTATAAGGATTTTCCAAACTTAAAATCCTTTAATTTTCTCAAAAATCGAGAGTGTGCCTTATGTATGAATTCTGGTTGTGCTTACTGACCTCGAACCGATTTGGGCAGAAATCTGTTAAAAATGTTTTAGTACAACTTTGGTAAGCTGCACTGCTGGATGGATGTCAGAGCATTACGGCTGCCGTAGGGAGGAGCTTCACGGAGTAATCTGGGTCCTAAACTCCGTCTCCTTCAGGTCCCAAAGTCAAACAAACACTGAGAGTTAAAAACAGTCTAAATTCTTTCATCTTTAATAAAATCATCAGCGTTGCTGCTTTACCAGGTGTAACAATTAAGTTTAACATCCATGAAAACAGATTTATTAAATGTAACGGAGTTAGAAGTTAGCAGGAAGTTAGCTCGCTAGTTTCCACCTAAACATTTCCTACCATGTTATGACAGAGAGATTTGAAACTAAATCAAACGTACAGCTCTGCTGTCACTTCCGACATAAATGAAGACAGAAAACTAAACAGCAGTGGTGTTTGCAGGGTTACTGAAGTTGGACTACCTGGTATATAATGTTGTGCTACGATTGCTAGCGACACAGCTATGTTAGCATAACATTAGCACAGTGAAGCTGGAGGATGAACGCCAACTTTTTTTCCACTCATTAAAAGTTAACGTGAGGGATTCTGATGGTCAGGGACAAATGCAATCGCATAGCAGGATGCTGTACACGGGCCAAACTTCAGTCAGGAGAACAACTGAGATCATTCATCCACAATACGAGGTTAGTTATTAATATACTGCAACAACATGGGAACAGAGCAGCTGCGAGAGAATCCAACATTAATGAATCAATGTTACGGAAGTGGAGGAAGCGCAGTTTTTGGCTTTCCCCATATTTCAAAGGTGCTTCATCTCTTTGCTATGACTGTCAGCATAATTTGCAGATGATAATGGTTGTAGCCACTGCGATGCTTTCGACCAAAACAGGTGCAGCTTGATGACATCATCAACATGCGCTATCGCGATAGAGCAGTATAGTCAAAATCTCTATTGTTGGCCAAATTTATATAGTTTCTATCGTATATCGTTTCTATCGCCCAGCCCTACAGAGAATGGTGATGCTGACCTCCGATGGTGCCTCAGATGGTGCCTCGAGGAAAGCACAACAGAGTTGCAGCTTTATTGGCTGCCCCTTAAAAATGATTCCTTTTAAGGCCCTAGTGTACAAAAATGTACACGCCCCAAAAAGTGCTATAAAAAATTTATATATTAATATTTTATTCCACTTTAAATTAGCCAATCTTTTAGACCTACTTCTCCTTGAAATATTCATGTCAAGTTTTAATTACATTT